CACTTTGGTGGCCTGACTGGTGTGCAGCATGTACTGTTTTAAAGTGGTGGTGTAGAATGGCTTTCAAAAACAGACTCTTAATTTAAGAGTTCAGTAGATATTAATTTCATAACACCTTTGCATTAGTAATGCCATTTTTCATTTTGAAGAGCTTCTCTTTACCTTAATTAAGAAACTCTTGATTGATTCTGGTTTGATTAAAATAGAATTGAAATGCTGATGTTACTTTATAAACATTCTTTTGACTTATCTTTCTAACTGTATCTTGTGTAAATTAAAGATGGCTTCAATAGAGTCTTCCCAATGGAGAAGCTGAGTTCCTTCAGCCATGAAGAAGTTCAGATGATTCTTTGTGGAAATCAATCACCTTCTTGGGCAGCTGAGGATATCATCAATTATACTGAACCTAAACTGGGATATACACGAGATAGGTACTTAGATTCCGAGTGATTTAAAAATAGTAATTAAAAGATACATTAAGTGCTATCATGTCTAGAATGTTCATTAGATGAAGACGCAAAATTGGATGGGATTGGTGATTACTGAAGAGCAAGTTATTATCTAAGACTACATGAAATAACCACATATGTTCCAGCAGATAGGTTAGAAGATAAGATACTTGGTGTTTTTGTGATGAGAGAGGATAAAAAAGATTAAAATGTTAAAATATGAACAACCAGTGGGAATGTAACGGCAGCTCACCAATACGGGCCATTAGCAATAGCATGTTAGAGTTTCTACTTCCATCGTTGGTGGTGGTGGTAATTTCTGTTCACTTGGGTATAGTTGTTATTTGTCCCTTATTTCTTCTTCCTTTCACTTCAAGTGTAGTTAAGGAAAATGTGCTCTGCGGGGAACAAAGGCACTGGCGACTGGCTATCAGGAGGTGGTATCGATGGTTTGGGGTTTGTTGGGTTGGTTTTTTGCTGCTTGTCATGTTTGGCAGCAATAAGGTACAAATTCCTTCTGGGACTGTGCCAGTATAAGCATGCTGACCGATCCCAATCAGTCTAAGGCGCTGTGTGCAGCGATTCTTCTATTGACCCTGCCCTGCATGCAGAGAGGCAGCCGAGATGACAGTGCCTGATATCCCAGGCTGTGCTTTCAGGCTTCAGCAGGCTGTGCTTTCTTCATGTCCTCTCCTGTTCCCCATTCCCTGGGCTGGTATGGATGGAAGCAGTGGTATCTGGAGGGTTCCTTGAAGATCTATAGTAGTCTGATATATCTTTCCTAAATTTTTTTTCACAAGGGTCTTTAACAGGGTAGAAATGAAATCGTGTATAAATTCAGGTGGCTTTATACTGTGGAAGTGGTACAGAAAAATTCTTAAGGTTATAGTCAGTTGGATTCTTCTCATAGAACAGGTTTGAGCTCTGTCTACTTCTCTACTCTTTCATATGCAAGGTACCCAAATAACACTCCAAGATAAGTGTAGAGAAAACTTCTTACTGACCTACATTCTTCTGTGAAATACTCAGCAAGAAGATTAAGGAAATATTTTTATGGGTTTTATGATGTTTTATTCTTAACTCAATACTGAAGAGGCACTAGAATCTTACAGTGACTGCTTAGACGTGACTAAAGGTCGTAATCGTACTGTCTCAGGTTAAGGGAAACTAAAAAAACCACACCCATTCTCTTGTACTGTTATCATAACTTACTGTTTTAATTTTCTTTAAGCCCTGGATTTCTTCGATTTGTGAGAGTCTTGTGTGGTATGTCTTCGGATGAAAGGAAAGCTTTTCTCCAGTTCACCACTGGTTGCTCAACACTCCCCCCAGGAGGACTGGCAAACCTACATCCCCGGCTCACTGTTGTACGCAAGGTACGGCTTCTGCAGGTGGCCCTTCAAAGCAGCTGTTCCGGCTCTTGAATGTAATTGTTGCTGCAGTAAGAAATAACACCGATTTGGTTTGGTTTGGTTTGGTTTGTTTGTTTTAATTTATGACACTACGCTAGTACCAACCTCTGTTTCAGGTCAGTTCTCTGAGCTCATATGTGAATATAAAAGAATTAATGTGCATATAAAGTAGATATAAGTCAGTGTGTAGCTTTCCTGATGCTCTTTCTTGATAACCGGCGTTGCGTATGCGGAGAACGCCACGGTGAATTAGAGCACTTTACAGCTTTTAACTTCCGTATCGCGTGCTGGGAACAACTGCAGTAAAAAATGTTCTTTGTTGTCCTCAGGTTGATGCTACAGATGCGAGTTACCCATCTGTGAACACGTGTGTGCATTACCTAAAGCTGCCCGAGTATTCTTCTGAGGAGATCATGAGAGAGCGTCTGCTTGCTGCTACAATGGAGAAAGGCTTCCATCTCAACTGAGCCGCTGACTGCAGTACGGGACATGAGAAAGTGTTTTTTGATACTAGCGAAGCCTCTTGTGTTTGTGTGCAAAAAAACCATGATCTCCACGCTGTGCTCTGATGAGACTTGCCTTTTTTTCACCTGTGAGGCTTTAGGAACATGTGGAATAAGTTTGTTAGCTGCTAATGACAAAATAAATCCTTATAACTACACAGCCAGCAAGAAATTGGCACAGAACACTGTGTGATGCTTCAAGGGCTTGCACAACTGGAAATTAAGGTGGTTCTGTTTGACTGTTCCAAAGAACAGATCATCAGATTTTCAGTGTTCACCGATACAAATTTCTGACAGTGTATTTGTGTAAAGTTTGTCATTTAATACCTTGTACACTACAGTTGCCATCACTGATCCCTGTTTTGCTGGCTTTAAGCTAACTGGTCAGAAACTTGCTTCCTTAAAACTTAGAGTTAATGGGCATCTCCAGCTTTTTCTTTTTTAATGGTGCCTGCACTATTGGAGTATTTTAGTGGGTTTTTGCATATAATCACGCACCACCTTTTTGGTTTTTTTTCTTTTTTCTTTCAAGTGGGAATATATTTTGATTTCTCAAATGCCCTGCTATAAAGATCAAATCCTTAAGTGTGTTTGTGCAGCTCAACAATAAAGCTATTAAAAAACACTGGTTCCTAGTGCAAGGCACACTTAAAGCAAGTTTTACTTTTGGTTGTATTTTCTTTGTATATTATAAACATTTATTTAACTTGTTGCAGTTTGAAGTTTAAAAAAAACACCCGATGTGTAAGCTCAAAAGTAATCATTAAAATGTTTGCAACATATAAAACTGTCTCCCCTGAATACTTCATTAATACTTCTTATGTTATTAGATCTATGTACATGTTCTGAACAATCTGCCATACTTCTTTCAAGGTTTAAAAGAACCACCTGGCAATAACTGAGCTCATCAACTCATCTCTGTGCTCCAGTCTGGCAGTGAGAAGGCTGCATGTGGCAGTATTTGCTGCTCTTCGGTGGGCCCATGTGACCTGAGGTTGTAGTTCATTACATCAGAGTAAAAACGGGGTCAGATGATGCAGCTCATTCACCTTTACTTGAGACGGAGTGCCTGGCTTGGTTTCAGCATGGGGAGAGGTCTTTGGTAAAAAGTGGCTTACAGTAAGATCAAGTGAGATGCTAATATGTCTTTAAAGATGCTTAAGTACTTGATAACCAGAAAAGAAAAAATACTATGTTAGTTGTATCTGTGTGTTAAGTTTTGTTCTGTGCCAGTTCTCTGTGGTAACAATCTTTGCTGAGGGAGGGCTTGCCAAAAGATTCCGCCTCGCACACATGGGTGGATGCCAGACTTCCTTTCACAGCGTTGTTCGTAGCACTTCACAGGCACTGTCTTTGAAATTTTCCCCAGTGCAAAACTGAAGGGGAATCTCCACCACCCCCCACTCCTGTGACTGTTGAGCTTCAACAAAACAGCTGCACAAACCTTGTGTACGAGTGTCTGCTCCAGATGCAATGTCAGCTTGTTCTGCCGAGTGTGCTGTTGGTTTAAAGCGATGTGGACTGTTCTCCCACACCACAAAACTTCTCTCTCTGCTCCTTACACTCTGGTTTCTAGGTGCAATTTAGATGTGACTGTTAGGTGCTCTCGCACAGTGTATGCTCCTTCAGAATCGAGTTAGCCTAGTGGTGGTGTGGAGGTCATGAAGAAGGAGCCAGATACCATAGCTCTGGAAAGGTAAGTGCACGTGAGCCGAGGTTGCTAACGCTTCCGTGACTTACAGTGTCCTGTAGAGGTATGAGCGAGCACGTAGTACGCCGGTGAATACGGGTTAGTGTAGCTGCATCCTTCCACTCCAGAAGGAAGATGGGATTTGGTACCGAGCTGGTACTGAGAAATTGCATATCTTTTGTTACTTGTCTCTTGTAAATGTCTTCATCAGGACGCATGGATAGAATATACAAGAGAAAAAAAAATAACACTGGTGTGCCTAAAAAGTAAAGATTTTGTGTCATTTATGAAGCCAACATTATAAAAGATGATCAAACTGTTGATTTTAATTATTGTTTATTATTCTTATAATATTTAAGTGCCAAATACTTAGTTACAACTTACACAATTTGCAGGAATAATATGTCAGTACTTCTGTTAAATTTCCTCTGTAACCACAACTTACATGGAAAAGGGAGCGAAACCAGCTTTTTGATGAAGGATGAACCTAGTTTAATAATAGTCATAAAATTTACAGAACTTTCATTTACAGTACATTTGTATGAAGATGAATCAAGTTGGTGCTTAAAGGAAGCACTGAATCTCAGTTTGAATTTATACTTCCATATTTCCTGTCTTCTCCTAGGTCTGGCACAATGCTGTGTGATTCAGTGGTACCCAGATGGTCATGTGTAAGTTTCCATTACTTTATACCCAGTTAATTTTTTAAAATGTTGACTGTTCTAGAAAGATTTCTGCTGTGTCAATAAAGCTGCATCTGAAATGGAAGGTTGCACTTTATGTTTAGCTGTATCTCTCCATTAGGCCCACAGGGTACAGGAGAAACAGGAAGCATTTTCCAGCCAATTTGAATATCGCATCAGTCGATCTAACGACATCAGAAAACGGTACGCTCTCGATGGCTTCACCATCCTCTGTAAAACGCTGGAGTCAGGCTTGCATCTCCCTAGCTTTCTGCCACTTTGTCAAGCACAAACAGAGGGGCAAGAATTCTGTTCCTGTTTGTTTCCACGATGCAGCCATTTAGCACCATTTCATCCAAAATGATGTGCACTCTATCCAAGTTGAACATGATCTAGAAACATTTCAAGTTAAGTATATTTTGAACAACATGAAGATAATTCAGAGAAAATCTAAGGCACCTTAGTCTTTAATCAAAGTTTACAAAACCAGGTAAATCTTAATTTATTCTGGTTTATTTGGCTGTTTATTTTAATAGAGTTCAACTGACACTTTTTCCTGGTGACAGAGATGTCAAAAATTTGTAGCAGAGAAGTTAAACCACCAACAGTATCCCATCTTGGAAGATTATCATGTAGTAGTACAAGAAAGGTCAGCTTGAACTTGGATGTAGGTGGTTAATTTTACCACATACTGCTTGCATATAAAATAGTATCAGAGGATAACAACCTTGTACGTGAAGATGCGAATAGTCTGCATTTCTTCTTAGCAAAGGGTCAGGCAAATTCTGAAAATCTGATTCTCAAATACCGTTTTCCTTACCCTACATTACTGATGCTATTTTATTTGATTTGCTTGAAAGTAGCTTCCTAAGAGGAATATGCTGATATGTGAAGTTGAGACATTGATCTAGGAGTAAAACTCATAAAGGAGAGTACAAGTAAATAAATGGTTCATCCTTAAAATACTTTCAAAAAAATATTTATAACCTCTGTTCACCTAAAGGAAAATAATCTGAAACAATATGAATTGCTATGGTTGTGCTATATGAAACTTGTCCATAACCAGATCTGTCTTTCCTTATCATTAGCTAACAGCATCTGTCTCAAAAAATGATGGCAGGCCTTACTCAGTAGGAAGCGGCAGGTATTTTTCTGCATACCTTGCTGTTCCGTGTGTCCGCTGAACCACTGCAAAGGGCTACTTAGTGGAAAAAAGTCTTCTGTTGTCATTTAACCTGAGGTGGAACTAGGCAAAGTGGAACTAGGCACAGCAGAAAAGCCTGCTGGGTCCATCTGTTACGCCTGACTGCTGTGCAGATAGAGAGGGGGGTGAATAACCCTTCACCTGCCTTGCTCTCCACCTGCGGCGGCTCTTCCAGTGTGTTCTCTGCTCTGCTCAACACATCGGCTTAGCCTGAGTTTTGCCTTCTAGTTCTAGCCTGTGTATTGAGGACTACTGCAGCGGAGCTAGCAAGCTCCAGTCACTTCTCAATACATCTTTCAACACTTTTTTCCCCACTTGGATGTAGTCTCTCGAGTGCCTTCTCTGCCCATTATGGTCTGTTTGATGCTCTGGCTTGACCTCAGGAAGACAGCCTGGTTTTGCTCTAGGCCTTGTATTTATGTTGGTGGATTTCCATTCTAATCTGTGGAGTTGCAAGAGCCAGGTGTTCCTCTGCTCAGCATGACAAAGCTTGAGTCTTATTTTCTGAACGTGACTCAGGCATTTGAGAGGACTGCTCTGTCTTACGAGTGCCAGTGGATCCAACTACGGCAGTCTGCCCGACGGCCCTGCCAGGGAGCAGGGGCGGTGGGAACGCTGAGCTGCGTAGGGCAACAGCTGGGGACCCACATGTTGGCAGTTGGTCCTCCTAGGTGGTAAGGCAAGTGGTGGGGAGACAACACCTTAAACCAGCAGAGCTGCAGCAGTGCAAGCTTCTGCAAGTGAACAGTCTGAGGTATGAATGTGAGAACCAGATTGAAGTTTAACATTGACCATCCCTGTGCCTGCTTTTTTAGCACCTGGCCTTGAGAAGGAAATTCCTTCCTCCGAGTTAGACGCCTTGTTTTCCCTGCAGTGAGTGGTGAGAGCCAGACCCATCAAACAATTCACAGACTCCAGAGAACCGGGGCTGAAGCCAGCACTTGGGAGTCCAGAGAGGGATTTTTCTGTGATCCTTTCTCTCAGATTTGGAAGCCCAAGTCATTACTTTGGGTAATGATGCCTGGCTTGGTCTCTTTCAAAATGTCACCGCAGAGATGCTGCCAGCCTGAAACCTGTAGAGGAGGGAGGCTGAGCCTGTCCTCGGCCTGGGGAATGCCAAACCCACCCTTCTCTGTGGACAAGCTTAGCTGAGTTGGAAGCAGCTGCACCTGCTGCCTTGTACTTCAATTTCTCCTGCTCTGTGAGAGTTCTTGAGTATGACGGTTTCACCTGGTGATGCGAGAAGCTTAAGATTTTGTCCCTGTTTTGGTGATTGCTTCTGCTGCACACATTAAAGCAAGAAGAAGGACACAGAGTACCTGATGTCAGCCTTGTGTGTGACCACCTTGAACTTGTTCAGGCTGAACTGTAGGATGAACTTGTATGGTCAAGTTTAAGAGAACTCAGCTAGCAGGCTCTCTCCTTCCTCTGCCATTTCAAAGTGCTGCTGAGTGCTCTGGGCTGAACTCGGAGCTGCTGGGTATTTGTGCAGAAGGGTAAGGAACTGCATTGCTGCTCCAGCGAATACATCTGCTTGACCAAGAGCCCAGCACAGCTAGGTACGTGTGCTAGCAGAGTTCAGGCCCCCAAATAACCTTACTACTAGTTACTGTTATGTGAGGAAGAGAAATAACAGGATCTTGGGTATGTCCATGGTTCATCAGATAGCTTCTCATTTGCTGGCCTAAACTTAACCACCTAATTTAATTGTAAGTTGTATTTTAAATAGCAGACTTCTTCCCCAGTCTGACTGTTGCCCTAAATTGCTTCTAAAAATCAGACTCGTGCCTTTCAATACCGGGGAACAGTACTGTCCTTAAAACTTTAGCAGTTTCTGTTTATGTGGTTCCAGGCACAAAGGGAGATGTTTTACTTTGGCAGATTAAAGACTCAAGACATATTTCGGTATACTTCTCAAGTAAATCAGTCTTTACACAAATATTTTAATCTGAGAAGTCAGGGTTTCTTTTTTCCAGTTATGTGAGAATTTTTAGGAAGGCAGCTTTTCTATTGTGGCTTAGTTCACTTCTGGCGCTGCTCTACATAGGGGAAGAGGATCTGGTAATGAGGTCAGATAACATTCCATTCAGGTTTCAACAAGTGATAAAGCCAACTCCTCCTGGCTTTTAATTTTAACACTTTACCACTGATTCACAGTGCTCCAGTTCCCACAGTGGAGCAAGAGCTCCTGTCTCTGCAGGCCTTCCTCGTCCTTTGAGAGTCCCAAGGATCTAAAACCCAAAAGACTGGATCAACCAGGATCAGTGATGATGCAGCAAACTGCCACTCCTGCCTTATTTTTCTGCATCACCTTGTTTGAGAAAAACATTTAAGCCATTTAGCATTTTTTGCATTTCCTAAAGAGCTGATACCACGTCTAAGGAAAACTGCACCACACCAGTTAAGTATCTTGCAGCTGTTCCACTCAAACCCCATATGGTTCAATGAGATGTCAGTTCCCCTGCAGGGCCATTCCAGGTTATTTCAAAATTGGGCTACTCCATTACAGAAAACTTAGTGCTATGATTCCTGTTAATCTCTCTGTCATCATTCCAGAACCAGTGATTTCACCTGCAGTTTGAATAGGGATACTAATACCATTCTGGAAAGATCTCTCATCTTGATTTCAGAAGGTCTCAAAGCATTCTTTACCCTCAGCCAACATCCTGGCTTCCATTTTCAGTTCCCTTCCCACCATGCTGTTCTTGGCAAACACTCAGATTGCACAGGGAGCAACGTTGGCTTTTTTCCCCTTCCTGTAAGTCTCATGACTATGCTCTGTGCTTCCATCTCATCACACGCACACTGCTCAGCCATTCCTGTCTGAATGCCCTGCCCGGTCAGGGATCTCTGATCCTCAGCAAGGCTCACCCTCCCCACCTCTCACTTGTTTGTAAGTGACCCCAAACTTCAGGGTTTAAAGCCTGAAGTCACAGATCCACACCCAGCTGAAAAGCAGCAAAGCAAACCAGTTTGAGCAACTGGCAACAGGAGAAAGCGATGATGTTCAGTGTGTGCTGCCATTTGAGCTCCTGCTTCCTGTAGGTATCCTGGCTGCCCACAAAAGAGGACTAAGGGACTTTCACTAGGTTCCATGTAGAGGCTAACGGGCATTTTCAAAGAAGGACGCAGAAGAAAGCATGTACTAATCTGTGTGTTTGTAGATAAAAGTCTGTAATAAAGTTTTCAGAGCACCCAGATAGGAAATACTCGTCAGCTGTTAGCCAAGGCAAAAGCTGAGCCCTTACCGCCCTTGCTGCGTGGGTTTTGGGCAACGCTGCTGTGGCTGCGTACCCAGCAGGAAAGGTGAATGGCACCTACTACAATTTAAATGTTACTGATGGCTTTTGGTATCATTAATGGTACTTTCCACTCTCACAGAGAGATTTATGGCACATACATAGTAAGAGGAGGCTAATGTGACAGATTTGTCTCCTTTCCTGAAACATTATATAGGTGGGTAGTTGAGCAGGGGAGAGGGGAAGGAGCAGGGAAGGAAAGGAAAAAGGCACGTTTAGGACTTGCATGTCATAAGTAACTTCTTCATATGGAGAGTTTTAAAGATATGTCAGGATTTTCCAGGCAAGTAATTAAGGGTGTGTACAGACTTAAGAGATGATAAAGTGCAGCCAACACCTTGTGATCAGGTAACACACCCAGGAGCACAAACAAAAGCTTTGTAGATTAGGGCAGGGATACTTATGGGGCAGATGGTTTGCTACTGAATATACAGCCTTACAGAGCTTTGATTTCCATCCTGGACATTCATCTTCAACTAACAAGTAGGTGGAGTTGCTTCTTTTTTTAATCTAGAGTCACACATTCTGTCTCTGTCTTTGCTAACACTGGCCTTAAGTAGTTTTCAGTCTATCTCATGGTAGGCAGATTTTAGGCACTAAACCCCATTTTAGTGCTTTCTGACCATTTCTTCCTCAAATGACTATCCTGACATTAAATAGGAGACAGATGGTGCATTCAAGGTCTGTGATATTCTAGGGTATTTGCTCCTCCACTGAGGTGAATTTCTGCCAAAGTTTGAAAGATGGTTGATCTGCCTGATATGGGTACACGTCCCCCTACATCACAGACCTAGAGGGAAACTCATCCCTCAATGAACAGCTAATCCTGACAGGTTTCCATTTCATCCACTTATTTTACAGTACCAACTGAAGTGTATCCTTATAAATTCTGAGAATAAATTCATTGTTCAATTTTCTTACTAATTAAATGCACTGTATTCTGAAAGTGTTACTCCACAGGGGACTGAAGAAGACGGTTGATTCACATGAAGTATTCCCTGTATCAAAGCTTTTTATCTATCCTCGGAGCAGCAGCAGCTAGTTTGCAATGGAATGTAATGGTTTTCTTGGATCAAGACAACATTCCTCAAATGCTTGCTCCTAGAGCACCCTGTCTTCCCCCTCCCCTCCCACAAGGGGAACGTAAGTATCCGTTTCTTCCATAAGTTAATACCGTCTCTTCAGGTAAGCTTGGCTTCACCAGTTCAAGCAACAGAAAAGTCAACTTTCTGTAATTTCAGAAACTCCTGTGCTTACCAGCATATCGTTCCCTACAAAGCTGCTGTGGTAACACTTGCATTTTTATTGTCTCTTTGTCATCATCACACCAAGAAAGCAGTTCCTACACCATCCAAGCTGGAATTTTAGAGCTACAGAAAATCCCACCCACTTGTTTCATACACAGAAGTGATGCTCATCTAGTGCTATTAACACATTAGGAAGCAACACCACTGGGACAACTGCAGTACCCAAACCACCACACCTTCATTCAGCTGGCCCAACAACGCTACCTACAGAGACTTCAAAAACAAACCAAGCAAACAGCTTCAGAAATGTTATGTTTCTGTCATAAGTACCCTTAAGTACATGACTGACTGATGCTCAGAATGAAAGTGGACATGATCTACGGGCTAAATGCTTTACAATTCACACATAAAAGCTTCTGTAAAAAACACAGCTGCTCTAAAGTAGTTACTTAATTGGCTGGTAGTTAATCAGTGTTCATTTTTGTAGTATGTATGAGATAACTGTGCACTTGTTTGTGCACTGTTCAGCATCACACACACTGCCCTGTGCATACATACGTGTAAATACGACACATTAATCCTGCTGGGTGGGATTTGGATTAGACCCCGTCTCTGCTTGTGCCCAGGGTGCTGCTCCTGACAGCTGACTCCAGCCACAGGCCGTGAGGAAGCCAGGATGTGGGCGCCCTGGGGGAATTCGGGTGTTTGGACCTCAGTGAAAGCCGGAGTCCTGCGCTAGCGGGAGCAGCGTTGCCAGGACTGCTGGGGTCACACACCGCGCTGGGGAAGCTTTGAGAATCAATGTAGGCTGCAGGCTGAGCACGGACTCCAGGAACACTTCAGTGGCCTGATGGTCCCAGCCTTTGGATTGAATTGTAGTTTGCTCCGTGTGTGAGTGAATAGCCTTCAGTGATTATAATCTATTTTTCATGGGTTTTGATTTCATGTAATTTCCTACTATTTTTTCATGTTAGTAAACACTACTTTCTGTATAGAATAGCCACTGCCTCCTTTGAAATAAACTTCCTATGGCTCTGTACACAAAAATAATAGTGCAGAGACAGGAAATCATGACAGTCTCCCACCAGATACTCCATATACAGAGATTCTGTAACTACTACTTGGTGTTTGCTGTTACAGACCTTCAGCCAGTACTTCCTCCATCAGATATTTTGCATCCAAGCTAACTGTACTGAATATAAGAGTTAACTTAAGGCTGTTTGGCAAAGGAAATGGTTTAATCCCAGGTGGGGATATTATCTTACACACTATGAAAGGCATATTGATGGATTATTGCTTGCACTGCATTAGCATCTGTCTAATACACTTGTAGTACAGATCTTATATTGTTCTTCTGGGTTTGCTATTCAAGCTGTTGTCAAGAATAAATACAATCCTGAACAGCCCACTTCATCGTTACACCTCTGCTTTACATTTAATGTTGAAAGAATCTCACTCCATTTCAACAATTTTATGTATCCTCTCAACTTACGAAAAGCTCTTTTTTCCTAAATGGGAGAATTATTTTGTACATATATGGAAGTAAAATATTTTATCTTAAAATTGTTCCTGAAATGTATAATGTATAAAAATGCATTTCTGAATTAGAAAAATTATGTACATCATGCATATGTCATACATGTTGAGGAGAGACATATGAGCTTTTCCAATATTATTTCCAGTATTATCAAATATGATAGTGATGTACACTCCTATTTCCCAACAGTTCTATTCACACCCTCATGCAGACAAGGCCCATGCAGAAGAGGAATTTCTACAGGAATCCTTCAGACACTGCACTGCACCCACTGCACATATTAGTGTGAGCACATAACACAGTTTCTCTGAGCAGCGCAGACCAGCCCTGTATGCAAAAGCTCGCTGGATAGGCAGGAGCCTCTTTCAGCTAATAATTGGGCTACTGGTGATAACTAAGTGTGTAACTACAGGAAAATCCTCTGGGTATGAAAATGATGACCAGAGGCAGGCAGAACTTAGGATCATCAGTACTCCAAGCAATCTAAGATAAAAAGAATCAGGTAATTGCAGACTCAAAGTATACCATATGGAAACATATGGGGCTATTTTTATATATAATTACTAAATAGGTCAGGTAAGTCTCTACTTCAGCAAAGCTTATGCACAAGTACACATAGTTCTAATCCTTAACTATAACTGAATACAAACAAATGTAGTTATACAGTCACTCAGAGAGCTTAAGAGGCCCTTCATCCTGAAATTTCACTATTGGTCTTGTATAATACAAGTGAATTTATTAATACCACAGCATTTTGTGAATTTTGGGAAGGAAATACACACTATATATATACACATACATATATATTTACTTTCAGTAAATGAGACAGAGTTCCAGCATGCAGCAAGCATTAAAATATTATTAAAAGTTAAATTAATTCTTTCTTTTTTTTTTTTTTCCAGTAAAGAAGTGAGAACAAATACAAGAAAAAATACAGAATTTTTCTGATATGTTCTTCATATGTACTAATTCTTGAATAAGGTAAATAAACTAAATTAAAGTATTTGATTCCAGGAATGCAACTGTATTTCAGTTGTATAATTGAAACCTTTTGTACCAGTAGATCTGCATTTAACCAAGAACAAGCATAGGCATAAGGATTGCTGAAGCAGAGCGAGCAGGCAGTGGGATTGGAAGAACTGAGGAGGAAGACAGGTGTTTGCACTGCATTTTCCTGGTTTAATTTCCTTTAAATTCAGTATTGTATATTATTTACTTGCTATTTGTGTTTAATTGTTCAGGACTGTATTTTAGTATTTAGTATGTGTTTGCTTGTATTTGGTTTTGGTTAATTTTTTAAATTATGTTTTAGTTAATACCCTAAAAATCATATGCATGAAAACACAGCTGTGTAATGGAGGGACATGGGGAGAAAAAGGTATCTGTGGCAATGCCTGGTTTCCTAAATTTCCTCCTCCCAGGCCTTTCTCTCCTTCCATTAATATAGAAAGTAAAACTCACCTAGACTTTCATGAAGCAAGATCAAAGTGCAAACCTAATCTTGGAATGATGCTACTGCAATTTGGCCCAACACACAGCTGTAACATTCCGTTCTTATTATTGCAGTCACTTCAGTATCTCTTTTACTGTAAACTTAAAGAAAAAAGTAAAACCCTGAAGCAATAATTAGTTAAGCCTGAAAGTTCCACCATGGATATAACTTTTTATGTCTAAGTGTTAACAGCACTTAGTTCTCTCTAAGCAAGTTTTCCTCGTCTTATTTTAACTAATACCAGGCTTACCTTAGTGACTGAGGATTTAAATAGGTGACCCTCATGAACACCAGCCATTCTTCCAGAAAGGTGCCAAAATTATGCTACTTACTGTAAGTACAGAATTTGTGAAAGCTCTGCATTTTCTTGACTGTTTGACAGTCGGTGCTATGAAGTCAGTATGAACTGGAACGTACACCAAAAAGATAGACAAATGGATTTCTGATACCAAAAAGGATACATCTAATTCACTCTGCAAGGAAAAGAGAGACAACCATTAGTTAGAGTTTGATCTTTCATCTCATAGTCATTAAACATTACACATCCCTTTAGAGGACAAAGTCTTCAAAATATAGATACAGAATTTTAGGGTGATTCAGATTTCTGTTCTGGACTGTACAATTACATGCTCTTTCCTGCAACACTCCCTTGCCTTTGATGTGTTACCTGTCTGCATAACAAAGGCAAATGTTCTGAAATTTTGACTTCGAAAAACCCACTGAGATCACCCACAAGAACAATTTGAATACAGGCAGTGCCATCTGAATGAGTGGGTGGAAAACCAGCATCTCTCAGCAACTCCAGCCCTATATTCTCTCTTCCTCCTGCAAAAACAGGATGTTAATGCCAAGTTTACAATTTATATAAAAACGTAGTTAAAAATGTTGCTGCAGATCATTTCAACAGCAAAATCTAGATACTGTACATACCCATGGCTGTGGTAGCCGTGGCTGGATATATTAGGAGAGGGAAGGCAACTCCAAGATTTGGACCCTCAGCAATTCTAACTATGGCTCCAGCCCCAGCAACACAATTCTTCACATAGTCATCGCTTCCCTTCTAGTCTTGGCCTGGATTTACCCCAAATAGTTTTATTCATTTAACCAAAATGTCTGAGTTTGAAGCCCTTGTGGTCTCTCTGCAGTCATCAGAAGAAGATGGGTATCTTCAACAGTTGAACTGGCACACTTGAGGCATGACTCACTTTCTCCAGATACTCCTCGGTCTCCATGGCTGGTAATGGGAGCTTAGGATAAGCAAACATCTAACTTAGGTGCCTCAGTGAAATGTCTAAATTTAGAAGCAATTATTCACAGCCTCAGCAGTTAAGATCTTGCACAGTTGGGGTGGAGCTTCCCCAGTGTCTGCTGAAAGAGGGAATCTTTATCTGCTACTGAAAGAATTTAGTTTGCTAACATGGTTTCCATTCACAGTCTAACCCTGGAGTTTTAGGCAGAGTTCCAACTGCTAAAATTGCTACTACTTCTACAGTCCAAACACGCTCTAAACTGGGCTAGTTCTAGTCTGCAGGCCTCCGCTGAGTGACTCTGCCATTCTTCCATTTACATTTTTTTATCCATCACAAAAATTATATTTTAAGAGCCTGATCAGTTTAAGTTTCCTCAGCATTAAAAAGTAGTTGAAAATATTGGAGTATGTATTCTGAACAGTATGCAGTTTTCCCTGGGTAGCCATTATAAAAGCACAGGGGACTCAGAATAACATCTCACAAGCCACTTCAAAAGCCTTCCCCCTAATTCAGTTAATGTTTGTTCTGATATTTTAATTCAAGCTCTGTAAACTCCATTAGATAAAAATAAGAGTATGTGAGAACGTTTAAAGCTCACAAGCCTAAAAATAATAGATGACAAAATGTCCTTCTAGAGCAGGACAGATGTTCTTTCCTTCCCAGAGTTTTGTCTCCATTGTCATCATCATAATTTGGGATTCTGCTAAAACTCTGCAAATCCTAAACATTAATCCATAATAGTACAGACTTTCGTGCTCTGTGGTTTCTGCCAGAAACCCCAGCTAGAATTATAGCCCTCTTCTTCAGTGCTCTGCCATTTATCGTGTTATATGCTATTAAAAATAGAACCACGGAATGGCAGGAGATTTCTTTAACCATGGTCCCTTTTTGGTTCCCTTAGTTTCAAACCTTAAACGCTATGGAAAATACAGAAAACTCTGGTATGATGAATTCAGCAAATTTTAACAACTATCAGTGGTTGGGTTATATATGTGGTCAAGGAATTATATATGCTACATTTATATGTACATGAACTACGTCTATTTTTGGTCTGCCTCAAGTGAAGAAAATAAAACTTGAGAAGTGGTTGGCAACTATTAACTCAATTAGATAAATAACACGTGACTAAATTTTATTGTGCATTCCTGTGCTGCCAGGATCAAATTCCACTCCCAACCAGTTACCACTGCTTAGGTTGGGACTGAAATCATAACAATTTTAAGGGACAAATTCTGAACTTAGGACAGTCAGAAAGTGATCTACTTAGTACCAGCAGTTTCAACAGGCTGGTGTGACGTTAATTGAGATAATGGCCTAAAACATCTCCCAGGCATCTGAACAGGGAAGGGTGCAGATGACTTCTTCAAGCATGTCCTTGAATTCACAGAGGGAGCTCTGTCATGTCTGCTGTGGTACTAGTACTGAGATGCCAGTTAGAGGCCCCGCATACTGCTCTCTTCTACATATAGTTACACTAGTTAAACTACTACAAATTACCAACGCAGTACCCTCAGGCACGTGGACCATGGAGGGAACTCTACTCAGTCCTCTTTTCTGAGAGGAATATCCAACACATTTCAGCATAGACAAACTGAAATTGTGCCAAAGTGTGATTTTAGGCAGATTTGATTATAACAAGATTACTAGAAATCCTAGATTAAATAGCACACTTTCTAACCAGGATTATAATGCTGTATTTTCAATCTTTGTAAAAACAAACAAACAAACAAACAAACAATCTCCCACCAAAAGAAGCAGTGTCATTTTAACTGGAGCCTTGTCTGATGTTGAATCCTTAACAAAATGTCTATCTACAATAGCTGCTTTATCAGATATCCACATTGTTGCATGACAACAAGATGGGGAGCACAAGTACAGACTGGTTTTTGAGGTTTCATTTGTGCTCCATCCCTCTGATCTTGCTCAAAGTGATGTCAGCTCCCTGCTTAATGCTTACACCATCTTTATCGTGAATCAAGTGCATTTGGGGGATGGAATGCTAAGAACTGCAAAAAAGAAGAAAAAGCTCTTTATTCCTTTAAAATGTATAAAATGCCAGTGGCTATTTTAAGAGTACATGACCCAAAGAACTCCGGAGTATAAGCATATAAAAACATGCTTTTCTAACAGAAGTATCTCTGCTACTCCTTGTCTGATGATTTATAACCCATGCACACTTTTACTCCTCTGAAAAAGCAACTAATACTGCTTTTTTTGCCTTGCTTTTTTCTTTTTTTTTAAACTAGTGGTAATATTCATGCTAAAGTATTAAAAATTCTAAATTAATATGAAAAAGAAATTTTCTCCTTTGATTTATTCCCTGAAATGACATATTTGCTGAAGTTTTGAAAAAGAAGAAATATTTCATAATAGATTCAACGTCTCACTCACCACTCTGCTGAAGTATTTGTCCAAAACTTCCACAAAATTATGAATTAGTTCATATACTGCCATCTCATTCTGAAATTAAATCAAAACCAAGTGAACAGTAAATTAACAGCTAGAAAAATGTAATAGTATTCTTTGTGTTATTTCAGTTTGTGGTATATGAAAAGCAATGAGAAAATACAGTAAGAGCTACAATGAAGTGCACAAGCTCAGGCCACCACAGCGAGAGAAGGTGCGGTTACCCCGCGGAGGGGCCGAGAGCAGGGCAGCGCGCGGGGGCAGAAGCTTCAGGCCAGCCACACCAGGAAGCGCTGCGGTACCCAACGGATTTGTCTTGCCTGGGCTGCCGCCATCCTACTGCGTCCTTCGTTCCACCACCACCCAGGCTGGCCGGACAGGCACAGCTAACCAGGCTATGCCGACCCATGCTGAAGCCACACCGGCTGGCAGCAGCACAGAGCAGGTTGTGGGGCAGCAGCACAGATGGGTGATTTCTGTAGCAAAGCCAAAAGAATTTGCCCAAATTGCATGCCATTATAACCCTGACTTGAAGTCACTGTGGTAGTAGTTAGCAGCTATTTTCCACACCACTCTGTTAGGGGCTCCAACAGTAAGCTTTGAATTAATTTCTGAGAACTGGGAATCCATGTAAACACAAAAGCCTTGCAGGCGCAGCCTGAATGCCTGAAATAACAGTACTTGTCAACTTTCAGATACCTTTTTGGGGTTTTTTCCCCCTTTTTTAAAAAAATACAATAAATTGGCATCTTTCTAGCTAACAGTATGGAAATCTTTTCTTTGGCCAAGGAGGTTAAAAACAGTGGGCAGTTGGGAAGTCACCACAGATGAGACAGCTGATCTGGCTGTAATGCTAACATTTGTTGAGAAACCCCACCCCACATATATTTATGTTTAATCAAACTTAAATTTAAAGAGCAGAATCAGTACAAGGCCCAGGAAGACCGCTTCATGATAACAGTTCAGTCCACTACTATAGACTGAAGTCAAACATACCACATTTTCTTTCATACCTCTTTTTATTTCACAGAAATAAAAACGTGTGGGGTTTTTTGTGGGTTATTTTTGCAACGACTACTGGAAATTCTCTAATTGCTATTACAAAATTCTGTACTGGAAGAAGACTTGAGCTCTTGCTCGTTATAATCGGTACAAGCTTTCATTTCATGAGGGTATATAATTTCTTACCTCTGTCTCATTGATTCCAACCACTACGAAAAGGGCTGCATACTGTCGGTACACCAGCTTAAAGTCCTTATACTCAACGAAGGAGCACTAGGCGGAAGCAACATGAGTCAAACACAGTAGCTGCCATTTAAGCATACGACAGCATTAAGCACAGAGTGCTCAAAGAGCCTAAGCTTTCAAGTTCACAAGACCCACAAAGAACAATGGATTTCTCAAGATCCACCAATAAATTTTACTTGAAAGAAATTTAGTAGGGTAGCTATTACACAAAACTTCTCATCTACTGGCAGAAAACATGCTACTTTTAAAATGGAAAAAAATGGAACATAGAGAACTGAAGTGACTTATTCAGAATTATAAGACAGTCAATATTTCCCCTAAATATTCATTTGGAAGCAATTCCAAAAGAGACAACCTGAAGGACATTTTCATATTTAAAAAGCGAACAATCTCTTTATATAAAAATTAAGAGTATTAGACTTCCAGAGGCCAGGGGGAAGTTCCCACGTCTTTCACAGGAAGGCAGGTGCCAGCAGATGGTGCTGGTACACGCTGCTTTGCAAGATGCCTCCCCTTCTTTAAGGGTCATTCTGCTCAGTCCTTGAAATGGCAGCAGACCCTTAGTTCTTCTGCTGAAGCTTCTGTTTGGAGATTGTTCTTGCAAGAGCAGTATGGAGGAGGTTAATTTCTTTAGCCACTGTCAAGTCTGTGAACTACTTACTTTACAGGAACTGCTATTTTTTCTGAGGTTTTTCAGAATGAAATATGTGAGGACCACTGTTCAAGGATACATGTAATTAATGGAAAATAAAGAAGCTGACTTCAGAACACAAACCAAAAAACTCCAGTCCCAGTCCGAGTCACAGATTTCTCCTCCAATGCAAGTCAATGTGCTCAAAAGTGTTGCCAAGTTTGGTACTTTTCTTAAAGAACCACTGGCTCAATTAAGTGAGCCATGAAAATCTCAACTTTTGTTTAAGAAATTTCCCAGCTTCTAAGGTTTCTGACTTTCTTGCAGAAAGTGCGACACTTCTTTTGAATAAAAATGCCTAATATAGAGGCCTAAAAAATTGTTTTCCCTAAAACCTTTCTGGTTTAGATAGTATTTTAATGATTTGGAATCCTTTCTCTTAAATTTTTTGTTTAAACTTGGAGCTGTCAGTACTATCCCTACTACCTCCTGGCAAAGCAGTAGTAATAACTCTCTATCAATCTCTACCAGACAGGCAATAACAGGACAAAATAAATTCTTCCTGGACTTCTGAGCTTCTTCAAACAAACAGGAGGAATCTTCATGACAGTGATACACAAAACTCTAAAATCTCTCTAAGCCTCAGAAAAACGTATTTATTCAATGCAGAATAACAGTTCAACTGACTCAGCTCATAATCTAGAAACACAATATTTTTCTTCATGGGTGCAAATGAAATAATGGCCAGCAATGGAAATGGATGTGTTTTCTGACTTATCAACATGAAAGATGCATGATGCTGATAAAATAAAATGGCTAGGGGAAAAACTCCAAAACTTACCTGATCCTTTGAACGGGAGAGACAGTTTTTGATTACTTCAGCTTCCAGCACTGTCCTTTTATTAATTTCTACATGCTCATAATACCTAGAGAGCCTTGTTTGACCTTGTTTGTTTACCATAAGAAAAAATTTTATCATTTCTGTTTTGTTGATCTCAGCAGTAGATTTTAATATGGGGTGCAGGAATCAAGCAGAATATTTCTGTGAGGGGGAAAACAAAAATAGTATACATAGGAGTTATAAAAGACTTCTTAAAAGCTAGCCAGCCCAGATCCTCATATATTTAAGATTGAATTTATTGCCAAAACATAGAATATAGGAAAAAAAATCTCTATCTTTTGCATGCATCCCATGAGCAAAACTCAATTTTTTCCCCACACAAATAATCACAAAATATCTAATAAATAATAACTTTCACATTATCAGCCAATTTGGAGAATTGGAGGAGTAAACAATTACTTCTTCGAAACCATGAATCTTCTCACCATTTTCTTACTGCATGCTAACTGGTTGGAGAATATTATCAGACATTTGCCCAATACCAAAACAATTAACACAGCTCATAAGAGCAAAATTGGCCTATGAGTGCGCTGCTGCTTTTTTTTTTTCCTCTTTTTTTTTTTTTTTTCTGACTTGTACTTAACAATTTCATTCATGCCACACTGAAGGGAGAGAGAACAAAGGGAAATGCATGGGCCACAACACATGACCATTTATTTAATACAGAAAGAGAGCCTCCTAAATATTTGGGTATCAGCAGTATCAGCACACATCTTGAACTGAACCAGGAGCTGCTGAATCTGTTTTCTCCTGTCTAATTTCCCCACTGACGTGCAAGGTAGATTCTACACTTCATGAGAACTGAGTGTGGGTCTTTGATAGCTAAGGAGAAACTTGTTCATGTTAATTACTCAAAACAGTTTAATTTCAAGCTAAATAAATATTAATCCACACAACGCCACTGAAATATAGTTGTAGAATACAAATATGCCACATGCAACGTAGACTGAAAAAGGCTGTTAAACAGAGCACAGCATACAGAAGAATCTGCCTGCTAAACATCTGAAATCTTTCATGTTTGGAACAGCATGCAGGAAAAGGTAAGCTGCAGATGTCATTTTCTGAAATAGAAGTTCTGCGTTATTTTCTTTAATGCCAGAAAACAGTCGCTGTAATGTTTTCCATCTGACTCTCTGTTTGGATCACAGATTTATTGGCCCAAATGCTCTTGAGGTTTATGCACTGGAAACACAGCAACTACCGCAAAAGTTATTTGTTTATTCCAGTTCTGGAGAGTTGCTCCTTGCCTGGTGCAAATATTCTCTCCTAAGGTCTCACAGCTCCTGTGAGAAAGTCCAAGCTGAAAAAAACATATCAGGAATCCACAGTACAATACAGCTTAGTTCGTTGTGTAAAAACAGTATATCTTAATGCAGAAAAGCAAAAGGAGAAAATACAAAATACAAGGCAAGCTGCACAGCTGCTGCCTCATATTATTAGCAACTTGAATAAACTGGCTATATACTATTCATGGGTGATAATATCTAAATCTTTCATGACAGTGATACAAAAAAAATCTCAATATATTGTGCTGACATTAATTATTGCTTCCTTATGATTCATATTGGTCACCTAATTATTTTCTGAAAGAAAAGCCACCTCCGTTATCATCACTTGGATCTCAAGAAAGTGATCTCATTTTCCTCAGGGTACTGTGGTTTACTCCATACACAAAGAAGTTCAGATGCCTGTACCAAAATGTATCTTTGCTAATTAAACTTTATACTGAGAATTCATTTCTTAACTAAGTGACAACTCCATGGAATAGGACTCCGGAATCAATCCTCAGGACAAGACAGTCAGTTGGAATCATGACAGTTTCGGAGCCTTCTCACCTCCGCCACGCAGGGTGAAGTCTCCTCACATCCAGGACAGGAGCACACTTTTGCTGATTCTCTCCGACAGAAGAACCATGGATGGTGGTCAGTGCTGCTGTGGTGACGCACACGGCACCCCAGGCTTCTCAACTAGCACAGGTGGGTCTCTAAGAAAGAATGAACCAGGTAATTAAGACAAAAAAGGACCCATATGAAAAAGGCAAGGTATGACAGGATCTTCACTGTCAGATGGCAGCTTAGGCTGACATTTATGACTACACAGGAGAGTACCATCTAAACAATCTTTCCTGTGCTTAATATGCGGCTCTTTTTTTTTTCTCCCTGTTCTATTTTGTATTGATGCTTCGAGTTAGAGTTCCAATAAGAAGAGATGTCTTAATATTTTCAGGCATAAACAAAGGTAAAACAGTGAGATGACTTAGTCATTTTCTGATACAAACCTCTGAAAAACTAAGGATAAGAATGAACAACTCTTTCCAGCTCTTTCCATGAGAGGAAAGAGTCCACTCTAGAAAGGGCTAAGCTCACGAGCAAAAGAAACCTGAAAGGTACTTTTAAAAGGGTTGGGCTCTGAAGGAGGAAAAACCTTGCCCATTGTTTTAATGAAAAGAATAGCAAGCTCAAACACAGAGACCAAAAGCTATGCACGTTGTTCCTACCAACTGCAAAGCACCTGTCCAAGCTGAACAGATGACAGCAACATAGACACTTTTCTTTTTTCTTCTTAGTTTTATGCTTCATCTTTGTGTTTGTACTGCTGAAGCATGAATTTACAGTCTTCTGATTTGAACAAGTTGTTTCTAAGCTATTTTAATAATTTAGTCATAAATGGTACTGAGGAGCCCAAGTCCTGTTCTCAGAAATCAGCAAATTACACAAATACATCCTAGAAGAATAAAAACCTGAGGCTTAACATGTCTGCAGATATTCAAGTGGGACCTGAGAAAGGGAGGACAGTAAAACTACCCCAGGAGCACTGACAGAGCTGTTGTACTTTCAGTTACTGTTAAGCAACAGAGAAAAAGTATATGAAGAACTGATAAGCATGGATCCTATTGCAGGATTGGCTCCTAATCCTAATTATTCCTTTATTAACCTAATCTTTCTACATGGTTAATCCCTTTCTGATGCTGTGACTATTGTATCTGTGTTTATTCTTATGAAAAGCCTGGACTGTTTTACTTTTTTTTTTTTTTAATCCTCACAAATGCTCTTATCTAGAACGGATATAAAAGAGTCATGTTGTAACAGAGGTAGAACCACAGCAGTACTCAAATGTGTTACCTGTAATTTATGAGACAAACATTATTCACAGTATTAGAACAGGTGATTAACATCCGTAGGAAAGAGGTCCACTAATACCACTAGTCCTTTCTCTATTTTCTGACCAGCCCCAAAGATAGCTTCCAAAATGTGAGCCAGAAATTTTGCTCATATAAATGGCAGCACAAGCACACAGCTTTGTGCAGGAACACTGGAATAAATTTACATGTATAAATAATAATTTTAAAGAAATTTACAAAAAGCATGCAAGCATAGGTGTGGAATCTGACTTTGAGAATAATATCAGTGTTGAAAATATCTTAAGAATTTTTAAATTTCCTTCAAAAATAATTCTGAAAAAATCAGTTGTAGATGTAAAAACATTTGCTTGCACAATTTAGGCAAAAAAAAAAAAAAATTACTGAGGTTTTTTTCTAACAAAGTTTATTTCTTCTCCGTTCATCTTGGCTTTCAGTCACAGACAACACGTTAAACATAGTTTTGCATATGTAAGACGTAAAGAAACCTGTGAAGTGTAATAAACAAACAAAAAGCATATCTGTGCATGTCGATGGGTGGAGAAACTCCCATTCCTTCATCAAGTTCTATGTATTTGAGAAGCTACCTTTTATGATCAAAAACTGGTACTCTACTTACACAGATAGCTGCACTTCTCCTGATACAACTCTGACGTGCTTTTCTGTGCATCCTCATGCACATGCCTGCGTGTATCCGTGCGCACACACACCAATTACAGCGCTTTTATGCACACAGAACCAAACGGTTCCAGGGAAGTGGTGACAAGACACAAGCCTTTCATATCTCTGCCATTATTTTGCTCATTTTAGTAATGAAAAGACAGTGCTATCTGAAGGCTGTTTGTCAGAAATGAATAGGCTGTCTCATTCCAGGTCACTGGACAACTATCTGCATCAGAAATGCGCTCAGGAACAGAAGACTGGAAGGGACTATCCAGATCCTGATGGACTGTCAAGTCCAGCTCTCCCCATCACAGTCAACCATGCATTAGAAATCTTGTCCAGAACAGCCTGCAGTGTAGGCTTCGTGCATACCCGATCTACAAAATACCTACAAAACTCTATGACAGAATGAAAACTCCTTAGGAACAAAAACCTCAGAAGGTATCACTCGGGGAAGATGTAAATAGTCTTGAAATTGCAAACTTTTCTTCAAAAGAAATGACCTTCCAGAGTGACTGACCAGCACCCTCCTTTATTTCCTTCACAAAATTTTCCTTCTCTAAGGATAATTTGGCATACGTACAAATGACATACAGTTTATCTGCTGTGATTTAAATATGGGCTGTTACACTGTGTGAGATCTCACCCTCATGAAAGCACCTCCCGCAGATAAATATCTATGAGAGAAATCAGGTATCATGATTGGCTTGTGTGACTCACACTGATGGAGTATGTAGTCACTGACGATTTATGATACGATGGTTTTAACTCGTTCTAAACCAGCATATACAGAGAAGACTAAGGACCTGGGCTCATGAGGAGAGAGAAACGCTTCTTGATTTTCCTGTCACCACGCAGGCTCACCCCCCCCGCCTATACAGGTAACTCCAGCCTTGAAATACAAGACAAACTGAAACCTGCCTGGTTTGCTTCAAAATGCTGAAACAGAAACCATGACGGTTCAGGAACTGCTTCCAGGAGGTGCCAGCTCTGTAGGCTGCATAACCGCACGAGACACCTCAAAGTAAGTCGTCCCCATTTGTGAGTCACACCCCTACACGCTGTCTTTTCAGATACAGGTTGAGATCTCTTAGAGAGGCAAAGCCTGCAATACCTGTTCTGCAGATAAAAAGGTCTTAAGTCTCCAGCATGGCCAACCCAGCAGATTCTACATGCAGTAATATAAAACATATTTTAAACAAAATTTTAATGACTCCTCCAGTAGACACAAGCACTCAACATTTACTTATTTTGTCAAAGATTTCACCAATATTTA